CCCCCCCCCCCCCCCCACCCCCATTAAAAAAATTTACACCCTATTTGTTATTTACATTTAAGCCAATAGTTTTTTTTTCTTTTCTGTTTGTTTGTTTTTAGTATAATCGTTGTACTTTTTAACTTTAGCTGTTTTTATCATAGCTGAATGTCATTTTTAATACAAATGAATTTAAAAAAGGCCAGTCTAAAACTACATTGTTCGCTTCGTTGGTGTCATACCAGGCTACAGTTTTGGTGGACCTGGTTTGAGTCTCTAATGGAACATTGTTCAAGTTAGATTGCTTTAGTAGTTCTCATAGGTCATAGCTCTTCGGTCACTTGTGACACAAGGTTGTGAAGGTGGAACCGTTGCTGCTGACTCTTGTCTCCTCTGTTGTCTCCACTCCTCCTCCTCCCTCTTGTTTTTTGTTGCAGAGGAAGACTTCATACTTTGTGTTCTGGGTCCAGTCAGAGATGTTATGGACAAGTGACTTAATCACGTCTACCTCTTCTTCTGCTTCTCTCTGGTGTCTTGGCTGGTTTGATGGTGTTTGTGTTCATTTTGACTCGCAAAGTAAATCTAAGCAGTGCTACGAACTAATGTGAAAATAATAAACTTGTGGTCTGTCCGCACTCTTGTATGACCTTATGCAGTTGGGAGTGCTGTAAAACTTTTACCAAGCTTACGTAAAAATGTCGTAATGACTGAGATGTCTACTGTCATGTCCAAAATAGCTCCATTGGAGAGAGATGTCCGTCTCCTGAACAGCCTCATGTTTTGGAAAAGGACAATAAGTTCTTACTATACCATGGTTAAAGTCCTAAATTGCTGTTGATGATTGTTGGTGTGATGGGAGTAGGATACATTGATTCCTCATGTGAAATATGGTTTTGCCTTGGCCAAAAATGTTGGCTCTACACCCAAGTTTATAAGAATGTTTGGTACTTGTGTGAAATATCCTTTTCAGATCCACTGTCACTTGAAATGGGGAACCGCTTGATAGGCCTATTGTCCAATTAAAAATGTTCAAGTGTCAAGTAATTGTTTCGTATGTGTCCATGCTATAATGTACTTGTTTGAGTTGTTGCTTTGTTACTCCCATATATATTCAAGATTGCATCTCTGAACAAAGAACACAATGCATTTTGATGTTTTTTATACTGAAAAGATATATTTGTATTTTGTCAACAAATTTTTCAGAAAAAGCAGCTCAAATCTATAACAGTTGCAAATTAAAATTTTCTCACAGCCTCCTTGTTAAGTTTATGTGAAATTGTTTGGATCCTAAAATCAGAGAGAATGAGTGCTTATCATGTTTGGTTCTGCTGTGAAGAAACTATCTCTGAGCTATTAGGTTACATGAATCTGAGTGTCATTGACAGTGAACCTGGATTTGTGATTAAACTGCGTTTGTGATTGTTTAATTTTTTGGGGGGGTTGAGTTTTAGGGGTCTTTCTTATGTAACTGATGCTTGCTACAGGTAATTACCGGTACAGATCACATGAGTTTTGTTTGTGTGTGTGTGTGTGTGTGTGTGAGAGAGAGAGGGAGAGAGAGAGAGAGAGAGACTAAAATTGCTCAGTGGATGTAAAATGTTCCATTCTTCAACAATTGCTCTTTCCTATAACAGGACTTCTACAAAACAGCTCCAAGTTCGGGAACACTGTTCCTGTATACTAATAGTATACCCTTCCTTTTCTTGCCTTGCTTCTCTTACAAGCTCAACAGATAACATGAATAAACAGTCGACAGTAAATCTACAGAAGAATATTTTTTGAAATGTAATGCTATTACTGTTTGTTTTTGACGACTTTGTTTCTTAGTGAAGATGTTTATAGTACGACTGCAGTGAGACATTTTGTTGCACATTCTTTCTGTACACTGTTCATTATTATTTTTTTTCATGCTTGATCTTCACTTTTATAGTGCCAATAGATCTTTTTATAACAATTATGCATTCTGTTTCTGTTTGTTTGAGCTTGTTGTCAACACAGCTCTTTATGGTGAAGTCTGATAGAGTTAGTGGGGTAGCTTATCCCCAGTACACAGAGCTTGGGTTTCTTCAGATGCTTTTATTTTAAAATCTTTATTGATGTGGCTGCTCAGAAGAATTTTTCAAAGTTCTCCTCCTGATTTTACCATTAGGCACACATGCAAACAGAGTGTCCGGTCTTTGCCAAGACCTGAAGGAAATATTATAGATGTAGATATTTGAAAGATCTGTTCTCCGTTGTTGATGCCAACAGAATTCTCAATTTTATAAAGGCCGTTGGCCTTCACAGTGAAATATAAATATTGTTATTTTAACTAAGTATAAATTGCTGTTGTTTTTACGGCGGTAATTTTTACCATAAATATTTTTACCTTTTAACCTGACTAAAGAAATCAAGTTGTGCTGCGAACTGTTGTGAATGCAACCAACTTGTGTTTGGCACCCTCATGACCTTATGTAGTTGCAAGCGTCATCAACCTCTTACTCTTACTAAACTTACTAACTAAAGTTCTCTTCGCCATCACCCAGAGATGGTCTTTTTATGTGGATAGCCTCTTTGACCACTTAAATTTTCTCAAGAAATTTTGTAGAAAGGATAGTAACACTCAGGAAATTTTATTGAAAGGAAACGCTTGAGAAATCTTGTTTTTTAAATAGTGGAATGATAATACCGTTGTTGATGAACTGTATTGGGTAGGTGCCTAAGTTGAAGGTGTACAATTTATATGTAGTATGTAGTTGCGAGTGCCATAAAGTTTATGAAACTAAACCAAAACCAGTCTATGTAGTTGTGAGTGCCATAAAACTCTTACCAAACAAAACTAGGACCAAGGGGCTCTCGTGACCTGGAGGTTAAGGTGTTGGCCTCTCATTCAAAGGTCCCGGGTTCGAATCCGGGTAGCGACCGAAAAATTTTCTTCTCTAAAATTGTCTCCTTTCACCTCCTTTCCTGCTCTCTAGCTAGTAGCAATGTTCTGTTGTCTGCTTTTGTCTCATCTTTCTGCCCCCACCCCGTCACCTCCTTTGCCCCCTCCTCTGTGCTCCTGACTCTTTCTGCAGCCTTTCTACTGCTACTCTTTGTCTCCTTCTTACTGCTGTCTTTCTGCCACACCCCTGATCTTCTGGTAGGAAAGATCTACACCTAGCCTTCTCGGACAAGGGCGAAAAATCTCGGAGGGCCCATGTGCAAGTTGCGCATGTTAAAGATCCCTTGGTGGTTTAAAATCGATAAGAGTAGGCTCCAGCCGCCACCCGCGCAAAATTCAAAATTTCTTACCAACTGAAAAAGTTTAACGTGTCCCGCGCACTCATATGACCTTATGCTGTTGCGAGCGCGGTAAAACACTTACCAAAAAAAATATTAAAAAATAGAACCACTCTATGCCCAGGGCAGTGCTTCAGACTGAAGTTGACTTTAGGCCATTCCCAAAAGGGGAATATTAACATGTTGTTATGCACAGTAGAATTGTAAATGGTCTGGTTTATAAATGTCATGCTCATACTGTGCCGAAACAACATTGGGGTCCCTGCTGCTTTTTCTGTCCTCATCCTTACTATCGCCATTTTCCCTCTACTTCTTTTGTATGTTTGTCACTCTCTTGTGAGCTGCTATTTCCGGGGTGCCTTGATAGTCGAAGCAGACTTTGTGCTGTTGAGGCTAGAGAGGTGAGCAGAGTAAGCCCGATTCCCCGTTTTGGAATACTTTGTTGACATCCACCCCTTGGCGCTCATATGACCTTATGCAGTTGCAAGCGCCGTAAACCTTACTAAAACTAAAAGTTTATACCAGAGAGTTTACAGTAATACTAGAGAGACGGCACTTCGCCCGGATGCGCGTATCTGGGTCACCAGCTGATCGTGGAGAAATGCGTGGTAAACAAAACAAACAGCGTCCATTGTTCAAGGCATTTTCGTTGATCGCAGACAAGCATGGCCCGGGTTAGCACGAAGTGTCAATGGTGTTCTACTATAAACTGCATCTATTAAAATAAAAATCTGAGTTTCTTTCGATTTCCAAAGAATGACGAATATTATTTTTTTTGATGAATAGAAAAATATAGATCATAATAATGACAATATGATTGTGGTCCTACCAGACTGACACTCCAAGCACAAACTCAACACACTTCAACTTTTGAGCCTGCATTCTACTAGTGAAAGATATGTCTAAAAGTTTTCTAAATACAACGGTTTCGGAACTTTCTTTGTCCGATTACCTCTTTTTTTTTGGGGGGGGGGGGGAGGGGGGGATAGGATGGGAGATGGAAGGTGTTAGGTATATACTCTTTAATTGGTAGATCTATCATTATTGCTTCATGTGCTTTTCAAAGATCTGAAAGGGTGAGAATTTAATATTTTATATATATATATATATATATATAAATAAATATATATATATAAAAATATATATATATATATATATGTGTGTGTGTGTGTGTGTGTGTGTGTGTGTGTGAGGGAGAGAGAGAGAGAAAGAAAGAGAGAGAGACAGAGAGAGACACAGACAGACAGACAGAAACTGAGACAGAGAAACAGATTGACAGACAGACAAATAAACAGCTATAGAGGGGAGAAAGATAGACAGAGAGAGAGGGGGGGGGAGACAGACAAAGAGACAGAGAGAGAGACAGACAGAGAGACAGACAGACTGAGAGAGAGAGAGTGAGTGAGAGAGAGAGAGACAGAGACAGAGATAGTCAGACAGACAGACAAATAGACGGAGCGAGAGAAGGGGGAGAAGAAAAAGAAGAAGAAGAAGAGAGAGAGAGAGACGGACAGACAGACAGAGAAACCAACAGACAGTCAGACAGACACGCTGATGATAGACAGGGCGAGAGGGGGTGAAAAAGAAAAAGAAAGAAAGAAAGAAAGAGACAGACAGACAGACTGGCAGACAGACAGACAGACAGACTGACTGACTGACTGACAGACTGACCGGTAGACAGAGGGAGAGAGGGGGGGGGGAGAGAAAAAGAGACAGGGAGAGAGAAAAAGACAGACAGACAGAGAGGGAGAGAGATGACAGAGGGACACTGGAGAACGAGTAGATTTGCTGAAAATTAAACCGATTATTCCTTTAACTATGGGGATTTTTTTTCGAGATATATAGAGACGAAGACAAATGTATCTGCGTCTATTTGTTTATTAGAATGTATGTTAACTTAAGCCAAAAACAAGTCTTACAATTTATGGCCGAGGGAGGCAGGGGAGTTGCCTAAAATATGTGATATAATTCACAGGCCTCCTTTCTTTAAAGGCCTAGTAACCTAGTGAACTAACTACAGACGGTACTACACTTTTTCATGACATGACAGCATCCCTGAGCATCGCCGTGGCAGCGATCACCGCGCGTAAGTGTTTTCACGCCCCGCGCCGGGCGATACGCGAAACAATGCACTGTTGTTATGGAGCGCCGCCACGAGTGTCACCTCTCTATTACTGTAAACCCTCTCTGGTTTATACCCTGCACCAGTCCTTAACATTGCATTTGTCTGAAGGTTTGGACCATTTTTTCTTGTTAAGATGTGTTTCCGCTCTTTCATTTCAGAGAGCTGGAAAATACTATAAAAGGAAAAAAAAATTCCACATCCCAATAGTTTTGCAAAGTGCGTGCTAAACTGTACTGTATGAATGTCTTTGTTACTGTCGTAACTGTACTGTAAAGCCACTGGAGCGCGCTCATATGACCTTACGCAGTTGCGAGCGCCGTAAAACCCTATACTACTACTACTACTACTAAAGCCACTGGTTCGTGGTAGAGGAATCGTGATTTCGTTTATTATTTGTAGTTTGTCTACCCCAGAAGAGGCATTTTGGTTCATTGTGATTTGTTTTGATCATAATACAGCTTCCAAACATTGACATACAAGCAGTCAGAAATAGACTCACTGTTAGTAAAACGTGGACAAACAGTAAAGGTAGTAAACATGGACATTCGAGTCATCAAACAGACACGTAGGTAGTCAAACATACTAGCCCCCCCCCCCCCCCCCCCCCCGGGGCAGTGCCACTGACTGAAGTGTTTTACTCTTAAGGCCATTCCCAAAGGGGGGACATTTCTCGTTCAAGCATAGTAGAATTGTAAATGGGCTGACTCGTGTCACGCTCATCATTCAAGCCTAATGCGCACAAAGTACAAACAAATCCCATGGGAAACCAAGACTTGTCTCTGATTGGTGATTGAGCTTAAAATGCATATTCTAGAAAACACGCACATACAGCGAAAGTTACATGTCATAATCATAACAGTATTTATTCATCATTATTTCATGTCATGTTTTTAATTAAAGCAAAATGATAATACCTCTATGTAAAATAAAACTCCAGGCCAAATAAAGAAATAAGAATGATCACATAAAACATCCAGCAGTTAAAACAATAATAACATTCAACGGTTAAGTCTCTGCACTGGACGGATGTGTCAACAATTTGGGCAAGAAATAGAATTAGAGCAGAGAGAGAGAGAGAGAGAGAGAAAGAGAGAGAGAAAGAGAGAGAGAAGGATGAGGGTAAGACATAGAAGAAAGATAGATGAAAGAGAGGGAGAGAGACAGAGGTAGATATAGATAGACCTAATGCACAAACAAATAACATTTAAAACCAAAATTATCAAGTGGACTTGTCTCCAATAATTGATTGCGTTCAATGAATGCATGTTGTAGCACAAAGGTACTTACAGTGGGAGTTACGTCTCATAATCATAAAAGTATTTATTCATCATTATTTCATGGCATGTTTTTCTTTAAGCCAAAATAATACCATTGATTGATGTAAAATTCCATCCCTAGTAAAGAAATAAAAATGATCATTTGAATTATTATGAATGCCTAGCAGTTATGACTTTCAACGGTTCAGTTTCTGCACTAGGTGAATTTGTCAACAATTTGCCCTATTTGGGGGAAAGATAACATTTGAGAGAGAAAGAGAGGGAGAGAGAGGAGAAAAAGAGAGGGAGAGAGAGGAGAAAAAGAGAGGGAGAGAGAGGAGAAAAAGAAAGAGAGGGGTGGGTCAGAAATAGAAAGAGAGATAGGAGAGAGAGAGAGGTAGATATAGATAGACAGATGTGAGAGAGAGAAAGAAAGGGAGGGGGGGGAGGCAATAAAAGCGGAGACTAAAATATGTACATCTGTAAAAGGCACAAAGAGAAATGAAACTGATTTCTCTTTCAAAATCAGACACTGACGTCATCACATTCATCACAGAGGTTTTGTTGAGAACTAGAAAGTAATATGCTCTTTTTAGGTTTCACTACGAATGACGCTATTGTGACTAAATCTCAACAATATTTTTCAAGAATGGAATGGTAGCATAATACTTGGTAAAAGCAGCCCACATGTAAGTTTATAAAAAAACGCCCAATATAGAGGGCAGAAAACCATAAACCAAAAGAGCTTAAGCGTATAAAAAAGTGAAAAGCTCAGAATCAGTACATGTACTTTCATATCGCGACTTGTGTCACGGAATATCACAGTGAGCTTCTGGATCTTTAGCAGTATTGGAAACTTTCCTCAGTCATCCTCTTGTTCTTGTTCCTGGGCCTCTTTCTTCCGTCGTTTTGCATGTTTCTTGGCCTCGTTTGCATTTTTTACGAACTCCTGAAAAAAGCAATAATATAACAATCAACAAAGAAAAACTTATTACCTACTTTACTTTTACTTTTACTTTTTCGGCTTCTTGCCATTTTAAGCGTAGAGGGGAGAGAGTTTTCTACAGTAGGCCGGATCTGCAGCTCGTTCAATTGGGATTTTATAATTTCTCAGGGTTCCCTTGACTCCCTGAATCCATCTTTTGCATGGCCTTCCTTTTCAGTAATAGCCTGAGTACTTGGTGTTCTATGCTCTCGAGGCTGGCTAGCGAGGTGACTTTCGTAAAAGGTGGCCAAACCATTTTATTCTGGGTTTTTTCTTTCTCCCTTTTATGAAATGCATGCAGGACTCGGTGCCAATGATAGTCACTCTTAGGTCTTCATTTCTCTGCCTGTCTCTTCTTGTAACGTTAACTTCGTTTAGGGTTTTGCGGAGACATTTCATTTTGAAAGAAGTAATTTTGTTTTCATGGGTTATGGGTTTTACTTACGATCCAGGTCTGACACTGGAAGCATAATGTTGGTGTAAATATTGAAGTAATAAGTTGTCTCTTTGTTTCCATGGAGATGTTTGGATGAGACAGAAAGGGTGTGAGCTGGTGAAGAGAGAGTATTGGACCTTGTAACCCTCCCAGGTTGGTTGGCCCTGACTGGTAGGCTTGGCTCAAAGCAGCCCGCCTTCTAAACGATTGAAATTGTGTCAAAGAGGGCGTAAAATATATGGAATTACAATTTAATCAAACTACAGTATTTAGCTTAAAAGAAAAAAAACCTGGTGTAGGGCCTATGACTGTGAGGTTAGGTTACTCGTAGGTTACGCTACTCACCATGAGGCCTTTGCTCATGAAGTAGGGCAGCTCCACACCGTCGTGCCTGTCACAGTCTTCCACAAAACACATGAATACGGCGTCGATGATCAGCTGTTTAGAAATAACACAGTGGTTGCCATGATAACCGTATGGGTGTAACACTCCTATCAAAACAGTAGGCTACAGCTTATTATATATTTTTAAAAAATAGAGTGTGATAAGGTCGTAGACAAGCAGTTGGAAGTGTTATACAGTACATGTACACTAAACAGCTTAAAATTAAACTCATACCCGCCCTCCGCCAGAAATTTATATAACGCCTGGCAGATTTAAAGAGTCCTTGACAAACAGTTGGAAAGATAGATTTTAGTAGCTTTGTAGCTTCATACAAAAACACTCCATGAATCACAGACTTAGAATAAAAGATAAATGATAAATGTACTCATGGTATAATCTTTAATTAAAAGTACTCTTCAGGGAAATTGCGTTAGTCCAGAGCCCCCCCCCCCCCCCCCCCCCCCGAGAAATCGCAACAGATCGGTTCGTGAGAGGTGGTAAGAATAAGATCGTGGAAAACACTATTTATCTCTGCAGTGGAAAGTAAATTCCTTTAACACACTCCAGAAATGATGATGTCACCCTCAGAGTAACCCCCCCCCCCTTTAAGGGGAGGAGCGACCCTTGATTTAGCAGATTTTGGGTCAGGCTATGCACATTTTATATTGGCTGATTTTTTAAGATAAACCTGTTTTTTGTCTAAAAATAGCATGGATACAATTGAGAAAGACTTTATTCTCCAGGTAAATTGCCTTTAAAAACATGAGGATGGATTAATATAGTGAATTTTCACAATTATTGTCGGTTTTCAAAAAATGTAATTTTTGTGCAGTTTTTTCCCTACTCCTTCCTTAGTTTTCATCTTTGTGACATGAAACTTTCAGGAAACATTGTTGGCACGGATGCCATCAATGTAACAGAGAGATATCTGCGAAAAAAATAATACTTTTCCATTGGCAAGCAATTACGCAACCTAAGTTTTTAAAAAGTTTTTTTATACTTTGGGAAAATTCTCATATTTATTTTTCTTTTGCACTTATTGAAAAAAACTTGCTGTTACACTGATAGGGTCTGGTTCAGGTATACTCTCCCCACATTTGGTCAAATTTAGTCTGTAAATAAGAAAGCCTTAGGGATTTGAAATCCATTGTTTATTTTCAAGATGGCGGCCGTTTCCATAGCAACCGCTTTAGCTATGCCAAAATGAAATTGCGTATCAAGAGATTTTACTATGTCTAACTTATATGTGTACTTAGATTTGATCTCGGGCAACAAACATAGAAAATGGTCCTCACAAAAAAAAATTATAAAAAAAAAAAAAATCATTTTGATAAGATAATGGATTATATGATTCGATGCTATCTTACAAAGAAACTAGATTCTAGTTCATCTTGGATTTCTTACAAGCGATAATTTCAGTGGTGGAATAATGGTTTATGTTAGTGAAAGAAAAGAGCACAATCTGACCAATTTCCAAGTGGACTTTTCAATTAATTGTTTCGTCAAAGTTTAGGTATCTTGATAGGGGCTGCTATTAATTGTGTTGGGAACTGTGTAGTATGCTGAGTAATTAG